GAATGGTACTTCCGGGTTGTGAGTATTATTGTTCTGTTATGGGAATGACACTTCCGGGTTGTGAATACTATTGTTCTGTTTTGGGAAAATAGTTGGATGGCGGTGAAGTAAGAACTCGCATTTTGATTGGTCCATTTTCTCTATATGAAGTGAACCACGTTTCTTTGGTTAGCATGCTTGGCTCACTTCCTATGACCGGAAAAATCAGATTTTAATCGATTTTTTTCTGATTAAAAATCGATTTAAATGGCACGATTTTAATCAGATTTTTAATCAGAAAAATCGATTTTAATCGATTTTTTTCTGATTAAAAATCGATTTAAATGGCATGATTTCGGTCGAAAAAAATCGATTAAAATTGATTTTTCTGATTAAAAATCTGATTAAAATCGTGCCATTTAAATCGATTTTTAATCCGAAAAAAAATCGATTAAAATCTGATTTTTTTCGGGATTTATTTACATCGATATGTTCGAATCGATTTTCATCGATATTTATTCCTAATTGATTTGTATCAATTCTGACATGGCATCCAGTTTTAATCGGTTCTTACTTGACATCTGATTTTTACCGATTCTTACCTTGTATCTGATTTTAATTGATTCTTACCTTCTATCTTGTTTTAATTGATTTGTGTTGGACAATCGATTTTAATGGATTTTTAAATCTTAATCGATTTTAATCATTAGCATCGAAAATAAGCGCTTTTCTCGAGATTCGAACATGGAACCCTATCTTTTAATGGTTTTTTTTCGAGTGCTCATCTCGAAATTATCATAGAGCTTCAACTCTACAAACATAGTAAATTTGGAACTGGTATTTAAATTGTTTTGATTGAGATTGTGCAATTACATCTTCTAATCAGTTAAAATCGATTAGGAACGTAAATAATCAATTAAAATCGATTAGGAACATATATAATCGATTAAAATCTATTACTTTTTCCATCTGCAGTTTTTTTCCTTAATGTAGAGAAATAAGAATAGAATTTAGTATTTTGACTAACAATCATTTATAATTCATCTTTATCATTTGGTAAGCCAGCTACTGTGACTCACACTCTAAACAAAACTCGGGAGAACATTTTCATTCTGCGTTTTCTTATGCTATAATAAATTTCAAAATTAATAGTATTGTTTGCTGTGTCATCCCATGTAAAAAAAACGCTACAAATCTGTTTAAAATCGATTTTTCAAAAGAAATCACAGAAAATCGATTAAAAGTACCAATTTTTGACTAAATTCTAAATAATAATCGATTAAAATCGATTTTTTGCTGGGAAAATTCATAAAAATCGATCTTCTGACAGAAAATTGCCATAATTGATTAAAAATCCAATCGATTCTAATCGATTATTTTTCGTAATCGATTAAAATCGATTTTTTAACAGAAAACTGGATTAATCGATTAAAAAATTGAATCGATTCGAATCCATTACTTTTTGTAATCCATTAAAATCGATTACGAAAAGTAATGGATTCGAATCGATTCGACTTTTAATCGATTATTCCGATTTTCTCTCAAAAAACCGATTTTAATCGATTACGAAAAATAATCTATTCCGGCTGATTCGATTTTTAATCGATTATCCCAATTTTCTGTCAAAAAATCCATTTTAATGGATTTTGCCAGAGAACAATCGATTTTAATCGATTACAAAAAGTAATGGATTCGAATCGATTCAATTTTTTAATCGATTAATCCAATTTTCTGTTAAAAAACCGATTTCAATGGATTTTGCCAGAGAAAAATCGATTTTAATCGATTACGAAAAACAATCTATTCCAATTGATTCGATTTTTAATCGATTATCTCAATTTTCTGTTAAAAAATCGATTTTAATGTATTTTGCCAGAGAAAAATCGATTTTAATCGATTACGAAAAATAATCGATTAGAATCGATTGGATTTTTGATCAATTATGGCAATTTTCTGTCTGAAGATCGATTTTAATGAATTTTTCCGGCAAAAAATCGATTTTAATCGATTACTATTTAGAGTTTAATCAAAAATTGGTACTTTTAATCGATTTTTTATGATTTTTTTTGAAAAATCGATTTTAATCAGATTTTTCGCGTTTTTTTTTTACATGGGTATTGTTTTAGTGTTCTACGCATGTTATTCTATTGATGTTTGTATTATTTATAATGTCAATAGTAATGTTACTTGCCAGTACTAAAGAGGACCATTTTCATACAAACAACCAAAAAGGTCGAAAATTTTTTCATTTTTATAAGAACCAAACAATATTTTTTTCCACAGCATTAACGTCAACGGATATGCTGAGAATATCCCGTCTCTTTCTTAGGTTTCTCAAGAACGACTCAACCAAACTTCTAAAACCGGCCAGTTTTTACCGGATTTTTTTTAACTTTTAAAAACTTTTGGGGCACTACAACTTGCATATTTTGCTCGTTTTTAACGGTTTCTATGATTTCAACGATCAAGGGATATGAGCTTGGAAGTTTCCAACTGATAAATTTTCAATCACTGTCGAAATCCCAGCTCTAAATATTGGCTAACACTTTCCCATCCTACGATGAGGACCTTGGAGCATGTTGAATGAATTTGTTTATGTTCACGAAAAACAAGCCAGATATTAGAAGCTAATAACGGTCTAAACTATAGATTTTTCACCTCGAAATTTTGAGTTCACTTTTTTGGATTAATTTTACTCCACTCTCATAGAATCCCAATAGCTAGTAGTTTTCATTTCATGTTTTCATAACAAAATATAAGAAAAGATTAAGTTCCGTTGCCAAGATCTTGTGGACTACTGCCATCATGTAATTGTGAAAATACTTAGATATTAAGAAACCTTAAATAGGAAGTCTAATATGGAAGCCATACGTTTTAGCTCACTTTATCTTTCTGTCTGCAGTAGCATCCTTTTTTTTCGGATTGAAATGCCTTTCAGCTGTGTTAAAATAATTATTTCAAATAAAAATAGATTAAACATATCAATTGTAAAGAATTCATATCGTTATAGAAAAAAGTCAGCCAAAACATAGTTAGATGTTGTTCAATATTAGTTGCTTGAGTTCTAAGTCAAACATTTTTGAAAGAAATGATCGTTCCTTCTTAATGTTAGCACATGAAACGTGGCAAACTATAATACGAGCTGTTACTATTAGAAACTTCAAGAATTATGAGTTTGACATCATATATCTTCGTCAAACTGAAGTAATAGACTGTTTCTCGAAAGTACTGATTGGTTAATTGATGCATGAAATGCACCGGTTTTTTGCCGGTTAAATCAAGAATTTGGACCGGCCGATTCGGTCCGGTCTAAAATAATCTGACCAGTTCCAAGTCTGTTCTCGAATGCTCCTTCTATGAATTATATAGGACTTAAGGACCAAAGATAACCTGAAGTCTTCCCTCCCTTGCAAGCAACCCAAATGCATTATTTTATGACTGAATTTTTTTGTAACTATTAGGTCCAAACAAAGTGTATCTGCTTTTATCATTTGCAAAATTCTGTTTTCTTTACTTAGTAGAAACACCATAACGAAAATCCTGCAAAAGCACGCCTTTTTTTGCCTAGAAAAAACTTTGTGAGATCTGCCAAAAGTCATCGCAACATTATTTTAAGAAGAATATAGATATGTACATCCCGATTTAGTGCTAGTTATCAAACAAAATAAATTCAGCTCAATTCGTTGAAGGATCTGGAAGAAAAATGGAGAAGACTTCAATTTTTCTGTTCAAGGATTGATTTTGAAAAAAACACGAAACAAAGTTGAATACTGTTATTATGATGTATGATCTATTTTTCTTTCGAGATCAAAACGTCGTCTAAGCAACAGTCAAGAAGATATCATTTTTAAGCAGATAGTAGTAGCGTAACCAGAGGGGGGCAAGGAGGGGCTGAGCCCCCCCTACGAAAGGTTTTGCCCCCCCTAGAAAAATTTCTATCCCCTTTTATTAAAGAAAATTGCGTTTGATTTCTATAATAATAGAATCAACATACAGCTTATTCATAACAGCAGGCATCATCAACAATAAGAAGTCCAGAACTCGAAGGAAAATCCCTTAGAAAATGAATTTCTAATGCACATTTTTCTTGCATTTTTAAGAAGTTTTCGCTTCGCGACTTAGGTCTGTCCCATTAGTTTTCATTTTGATCAGTCTTCTCTCCATTTCG